CGCGCTCTTGTTGTGTTTTCTCTCAAATACCTCATGTTTTATAATGGGTCGAAGAATACATCGATTCTGGACTTGAAAATCAACTGGTAGACCCTGATCCCGACCTGATTTATTCAAAACGGAAACAACGTCGCGACAAAACTCAAGATGTAAAGTTAGACAACAGGCCTTCCTTAAAATATCCTAACTCCTTCTTAGTGGTGTTTAATTCGCTATCATTGGAAACTGAAGAAATAGGTTCCTCAGTAATAGTCGCATCGAGTTTGTCCCGCTTCAGAATTTTTTTCGTCTGTACTAATGGCTTAAAGCTTTTGCCAACAAATGTCAGGTTGGGGGTGAGATCTTTGTTGTTCACCCACTAGTGGAAGAGACTGCAATGTTTTTCAAATGGCCATGTTGTTTGCCATGTCGGCGAGCTCACTGAGACTGGTGTATTTGTGCACCGCAAGAGTCATGCGAATGGTGAGGGGAAGCTTCTGCAGGTAAAGCTCAGGAAAAATCTTATCAGTGGCCGCATCGGCAACTGTACCTCTGCAAAGTTTCAACGTATGTCATAAAAGTCGTGATGGCTTCCAATCGCCAAGGACGTCAATGTGTAGCAGCGGCTGTAATCATTGTCGTTTTGAAGGGCAGACACGTTTTTGTATTTCGGTGGTTGTAGAATTATTTCACGTACCTCTGAGGCATATTGGGTTGGAAGAACGTGCACAACATGACCAAATTTCATTTTCTATTGGGTGATATTTTGTGCTGCGAACAACGTTTCGGCTTGGCTGCAAACCAAAGCGTGGGGTCAGACGGCCTGAGATCTGGTAGTTTTAATGAAACAGCATTAGCGATTGCGGTCAGCAGTGTCAGATGATCTGCTTCGTTGGGCTTGATCACATATGGGTGACCAGTTTAGTGTTCAAAATAGACGAACACCAATAAGAGTTAATCTTCCTTATTTGCAAACAACAACAACACTCGAATAATAACTCTTTGCTCAAAGGCACATGGAAAGGATTATTTCAGAAACAACTGAGAGTGAACCAATATACCTTTGATATTCTGTTGAACGTATTGCGGCCTGCTCTATTACGTGAAAATATGTGATTGCGGGACTGCATTGCTCCAGGAAAAGTACTCACACATTGCTCGAGAAAATGTACTTACGCTTGGTTCGTACCTCCTAGCTCACGGGAACTGGTACATGAGAATAGGCCGGAACTTTAACGTTGGCAGACTGACTGCTCTTGAAGCAGTCCAAGATGTTGTGGAGGCCCTTTTCGGCCTGAGGAATGATTACATAAAGTTTCCCATCACAGAGGCTGAATCTGAGCTCCCAAACATTGTTGGTGCAATTGATGAATCCCATATAAGAATGGCTACCCTTCAGGCAGTGCTGTGGACTATTTCAGTCGCTATCAGCAACATGAACTCATTGTCCATACTATTGTGATTAGCAGGAAACACTTCCTAGACTTTACATCTGGCTTTGCAGGCAGTATTTAAGAGTTCTGCCAAAAGGTACAATCGTCGATCTCGCAGAGCAACATCAGATTCTTATGGGCCCTTTTCTGCGGATACTGACATCAAACTGTATTTAGTTGGAGACAGTGCATACCCTCTTGCTTCCTGGCTTCAAAAACCATTTCCAGCAGCAGCAAGAGATTCATAGGAAGTAGCTCCTAATAAAGCTTTGTTTGCTGGTGGGTAGAGGTAGAGTAGCAGTAGAATGGGCTTTTGGGATGCTAAAAATTCGCAGGCGTATACGCGGAAACAGCTGGATAGCAAGATTTCAATTGCTGTTGCTTGTGCTGTCGATGGCAACTTTTGTCTTCTGAATCAAGACTACTGAAATGATGATGACAACGATGAACCTCGAGATCAAGTACATGAAAGCAACAACGATGATGTTAAAAGGGAAAAGGCAACGTTCAAAGTGTTTTGAGGGAGTACCTTGCATACGCATGACTGAACTAGAACATTTAATTGATATTCTCCTTCCTCTGGAATCGGGCAAATGTTATTGATGTATTGAAAAGATGCATACGCCATTATAATTTCAATGAGCTCTAAAATCAAACCGACAGTCAAGTAATCATTGATTGCTCATGCTTATGTGTTCTACAATTGAAGAATGTTGCAATCATAAGCAAACAATTATTTCTTGTGCAATTTGATTTCATTGAGCAATGATTGAAATTCAAAGCATGCTAATGGTGATCCATCCTTCAATCGAAAATCATTTTAATTCTAATTAATTAAAATAGCCCGGAACTGCGCTTAATAAAAAAACGAATATACAGCTTTAAACACTAGAAACTGTAACCATTAGAATCATCACACCGATAAGTTTTACTAAGTTAAACTGGCTATTTTTTTATTTTTAATGGCTTCAAGAAGAGAGGCCATGAAAGTTGACTCAGTGAAAATCCTCTAAAGAACAATTTGAAGTTGAAATGTTTTCAATTAAGTCTAAGTGTCCTCAGCTTCTACGTTTGCTATGAAAGATCAA